TAGATCGATTGACCAAGAGTGCCCATTTCTTGGCGATTCGGGAGAGTTCGTCGACCGAGAGGTTGGCCGACATGTACGTCCGCGAGATCGTGTCTCGCCATGGGGTTCCGGTCTCCATTGTCTCCGACCGAGATGTTAGATTTACCTCCCGTTTATGGCAGAAGTTCCACGAGGAACTGGGCACCCGATTACACTTTAGCACAAAATTTCATCCGCAGACCAACGTCCATAGCGAGCGGACCATTCAGACCCTCGAGGATATGTTGAGGGTGTGTGTCATTGACTTCGGTAGGAGATAGGATTCCCACCTACCCCTTGCAGAGTTCGCCTACAACAACAACTATCATTCCAGCATTGGCGCCCCGCCCTTCGAGCTGCTGTACGGGCGGAGATGTCGCACTCCGGTTTGTTGGGGTGAGGTTGGACACAGGGTGATGGTTCGGACGGAGGTAGTCTTGCAGACTACCGAGAAGATTCAGCAGATTAGGCAGCGGCTGCAGACCGCTCAGAGTCGGCAGAAGAGTTACGCCGACCGGCGCCGATCCGAGTTAGAGTTTCAGGTCGGTGATATGGTACTCCTGAAGGTCTCTCCCTGGAAGGGTGTGATCCGCTTCAGGAAGAGGGGAAAATTGGGTCCCCGATATATTGGGCCATTAAGGATCATTGCCAGGATTGGCAAGGTGCCATACAGGTTAGAGCTTCCGGAGGAGCTTAGTCGGATTCACAACACTTTCCACGTTTTGTAATTGCGAAAGTGCGTTATGGACCAGGAGGCGGTGGTATCACTGGATGACATTCAGGTCGATGAGCGCCTGAACTATGTTGAGAGGCCCGTGGCCATATTAGAAAAGGAAGGTGAAGATTCTAAGGAACAAGGAGATACATTTGGTGAAGGTACAGTGGGAACATCGGAGGGGGTCCGAGTGGACGTGGGATCCAGAGGCAGAGATGCGGGAGCACTATCCAGAGTTGTTCGCCGCGGCAGACTTCGAGGACGGAGTCTAGTTCAAGTGGGGGAGAATTGTAACGCCCCGATTCTCAGGTATCGATTTTATATAAGAATTTTCTTGATTTCAAGGTCTACTCGACGAGTTGGTTGCCCTACTCGTCGAGTAGCAGAGGGTTGGTCTGCATGTTTTTAGTGACCTACTCGCCGAGTCCAAGAAGGGACTCGACGAGTAGGAGCTGGAGGATGAAATCCTAATTTCTAGGGTTTTGCACCCTATTTAAGGATCACTTATTCCCCCTAACCTCTCTTATTGCCTCCCTCGAATTCAGAAACCCTAATTGTGTTTTCCCTCTATTTTTGTGTGCTTCTTATCTTGAAAGAAGATCTTTGGAGTAAAGGGGCTTGGAGTTCAAGAAGTTTAAAGCAAGGGGCTGTTGTAGATCCGGATTCTTCTCTATTTTGGCACTGTTTTGAAGGTAACAAGTTGCTACCTTGACTCTCCTTTAGGTAGATCTCTTCATTTATGGCATTAGAGCCCTTTTTAGGATTTTGAGGTGGTTCTCCGTTTTGGGTTAAGATCTGAGGTTTGCAACCTCAGATCTGGACTCCTTTAGTCCCTCTTTGTCATAAAGTATCAGTCTTTGTCAATCTATGACCTTTCCTCTACCTTAAGCCACTCCTTTAGCTTGTTTTGGGGCATTATCATCTTGCATGCACGTAAAGTTTGCAACTTTACATGATAATTATGCCCTAGGAGCTTAGATCTGCAATATGGAGCCTTTGCATGGCTTAGAAAGCACCTGTAAGGATGGAGGATTGAAGGGACTCGGCGAGTCGCATGGTAGACTCGGCGAGTCATATGAAGATGGTCATGAACTCGACGGGTTGGATGAACAACTCGGCGAGTCCGATAATATTGTCGTAAACTCGGCGAGTCAGTAGAGTGACTCGGCGAGAGGGTTAATTATGCAAGGAACTCAGCGAGTGTCTAGTTGCACTCGACGAGTTCAGGTCAACATGGACTGTTGACCTTGGCAGTTGACTTTGACCATGGGTTGACTTTTGGACTTTTGGGGGCATTTTGGGAACTTATGAACATGGTTGTATGGCGATTATAGGTGGTGGGGTTTTCAGCAGTGATTCGAGAGGGCGAGCTTATCTTTCGAGTCGACATTTGCAAGGTGAGTTATCCTCACTATATCAACAGGGTCTAAGGCACCAAGGCCGACCCTTTATATATTGTATCTGGATTATGGCATGATATGTTTATTGATTACATCCTAGTAGTTAGGATGATGGTATGTTTATGCTTAGTGACCTGGTTAGGTCAGCGTCCTGGTTATAGGATAAGGGTATGTTAGTGACCGGTTAGGTCTGTATCCCGGGTATTGGGATGTTGCTATGATTAGTGATCTGTTAGATCGGTTTGACTGTTATATGATATGAGCTAGCATATGGTATTTATGTGCACATGTTTATTGATTGGGGGTTAGGTTGAGGCGATCCTGCTTTGTGATGTAGGCCAACATACCCGGGGAGCGGCCCGGATAGGTTGTAGGCCCTGCGAGGCGGTCCAGTCATGCCGAAGGCTCGGGAGCGGTCCAGATAGGCTGTAGGCCCTGTGAGGCAGTCCAGTCAGGCTGAAGGCTCATTATGCATGCTGATCTGTAATTGTTATTTGTTGTGGTTATTTTGGTATGGAGTTGGTATTGTGGGGGAGCTCACTAAGCTTTCGGGCTTACAGTTTCAGTTTATTGTTTCAGGTACATCAGTGGATCGCGACAAGGCGAATGCATGATCGTATAGCTCCTCATGATTTGTTTATGTTTCTGGGAAAACTCTGATATTAGATATTTTGAAAACAAACTTTGTAATGATGATTGGTTTTTAAATGTTTTGAAAAAGTTTTAAATTGGCATGAAATTTTTGGGTGTTACATACCTCCTCTCATAGACTAAAAGTTGTTGCCACTTAGACTCTAATGATCTCTTGATATAGACCAATTACATGAATACTGTCCTTCTTTCCAACCAAAACCATAGCAGATCCAAACGATTACCTTAGCATTTGAAAACATATCTTGAATGATGGAAAAGCACAAGCAAAGAAATATCAAACTCTCAGTCCCATAAACAAGTGCAAACCCAATAAGAAAACGGATAATTAACTAGGATGTAGAAATAAGGTAAAACGTATAATAACAGGAGAAACATATACCAAGATAAAGTAAATGTAGATGGAAAGGAAATAACTTGGGAGGCATTAACATTTAATGTGGTTCCACCATGGGGAAAAACGGAATGTGTATATATTGATCAACATATACAAAAGGGTGTTACAAACTTACAAGTAATCAAAAATGAAGAAATAAATATCTTTGTAGTGGCTGAGTCAGAATCAAAGTAAAAGAGAGTAAAAATGTATCCCCAAAGTTTTTCCAAAAAAATAACACTACTGAAAAAAAAATCGAAAAAATTACACTACTGAAAGTTTTTTGAGGACATCCCAAGCCACACCGAGAACCACCTAGATCCGCTTATGGCCCTTTGTATTCAAATTAATCGCCAGAGAATGGAGGAAAAACTAGCCCTAATAAAGACTTAAATCCCATATTTAAAGACAACTCATAAGAGGAAAATCGCCACTTGCTAGTTATCTCAAATGGCCATACCGGATGGCTATTGAGTCAACAATCGACAACTACAGCAACCAAAAACAACTCTGAGATATGTAAATGGGCTTTGAGCTATTCTTAATGATTCCATGAACTAACATTTCATGGACAAAATATTCTCTTTTAGTGTCTATTTGTTCGAGGGAGTTTTTGTAAGGTCTAACATGTACGGGTCCAGCTCCTTGTTCCAAAGTGGATTTTATGGTCAAAAGGTCCTCTAGGAGGCGGTCCTTAGAAACATCCTTATAGTTCTCCATAAGTTGTTGCAACTTGCAAGACCTTAATATATCATCTTCTTGTGTTGTTCAAAGTTGGAGAAACATAATTGAGTTGCCTTTTGCATCAAGTTTAATTTGTTGGAACCTCTCATGCAAGACTTTGAGTTTATGGAAGGACACCCATTTTAGCATTAATATAGATTTTCCACACCTAATTCAAATTGCATATTGTACAAGGCCTAAGTATATACATCTAAGACCATATCACAAGTCACAACCTCCCGCTAGTACAAGCAAAGTATCAGCAGTAAATTTTCTAGACTGTAACATCCAATTAAGTGAAATCCTTGCAAATATGTTGACAAGGAAGATATTTCCCATCTTCCACAGTGGCATATTGAGGTGAAGGTTTCTCAATTTTGAAGCCAATGATCTGATAGCTAACTTTAAATCCTAGAAGCTGTGAATGGTTCATGAGTTTATGAGGTATGCAAATTGCAAGGGTTTTCGACCAACAAATTGCACGATTCTAATAGTTTTCAAGGATTGTAAAATGTAAATTTAGTTGATGCATTTTAATGACTCTTCTTGCAATCTTGCAATTCTATTGCATCTGAAATTGTTTTGGGTTTGAATGTCTTGACAAAAGACTTAATGTTAGGGCTTAAACCTCTTTCAAAACTTTCAAAGAATAATCCTATGCGTCATTAATCTCTAAGATTCCCATACTTATCCACATTATCCTTACTCGAATCCACTTGATGCAATTTTATTGAATTGCTCAACCACATGATTGGTAACTAACTATACAACAATAACAATACGAACTGGATCATATCTCTTCCATACCAATGCTACACAATATTAAGGTTAATTAACAATAAAATGGTAGAAAACTAGAGAAATAGTAAACATGGAATATGATATGAGAAAGAAAGTGGCTTTATTATGAATGAAACTTGAGTGTATCTTTACAACTGAATGGATTTTTATACAAAAAAATCTCTTACAAGTTGTTTAGTTACAAGTTTAGGTCTAATCAATATGCAACCAACGTAGTTACTAAACATATTCACAAGTTGAAAAGGTTGAGTAACAAAATCCTTTAGAGTAACAAAAAGAAAAACAAAACTCGATTGCCTAATTGATTCAGGGTTTTCTATTTGTTTTTTTTGTTTTGAGATGGGCCAGGTTGATCTTCAGGCATATCAGCCCAATCATCTTCTTCATCATGATATATGTTTTCAGCCATCTTCCATATCTGAAGAATGTTATCTTCAGCAACACCAGCAATCACCCAATCTTCATTTGAATTCCATGAAAATTCCGACACTTTACTCGTATGTCCACCATGAATAAACAGCAACTCCGGTCGCCCATCTTTCACATCTTCCGGCACTTGCTCCTCTCCAATCCTACATTATTAAAAAAAACTCGTAATTAACCTAAGGGTAAAAAAGTAATTTCCCTACTAAAAATGCATGGGAGGAGTGAAGTAGTTATATATATACCGACTAATATCCCATATCATGAGTCGTCTATTAAGACAACTAGATGCTAAAACTGACTCATTCTTCGGACTCCATGCAACTTGAATTACCTCGTCCCTAATCATGAGTAGATTGATTGGTGTACACGGAAAAGGGTAAAAACGTAATTTCCGAAAATACATGCAAGAACTCTTACTCGTGACTAAATGTGTAAAGAGCAGTCGTAAGTTTTCGTAAATCGAATAGCTTTACAGTCTTGTCTGTTGACCCCGTTGCCAATGTCCACTCGTTAAAAGGGTTGAATGATAATGACATGACCTAATATTTAAATACATGAATATATATATATATATATATATATATATATATATATATATATATATATATATAAATTAATAAATATAAAATATACACATATACATATGTATGAATAGTAAATATACATATAATTATATATGTATGTAATGTACCTCGTTTTGATGAGCCATTAGGGTTTGGATAGGTTTGGTGAATGTTGGAGATCGAAGATCAAATATGTGCAAGTATTTGTCATCACCAACTGAACCAAATAAGTATTCGCGCTTTAAATGCCAAGCTACATCTTCTACGACTCCCTTATGAATCTGATAAAAAGGAATTAATTATTGGGTATTAGAAATTAACAAAAACTTGTTTAAATATGGAATTAACTACAATGGAATTAGGAAAATGAATGGAAATGGTCATTCCAAAGGAATGAACATAACGTGTTTGTTTTGCCGGATGATGGAATATGTGATTCCTTTTGTTTTTAATTTTTGTTTCTTATGAAACCGAAGTTTTTTTTTTCTTTGTTTCACCATAGAATTTTGCAAACATTTTTTTTTTAAATGTACCTTTATTTAAATTGAAAATCTGTTATTATATAACGTGAAAGTATTATTTATTTTTAGGACCAATCACAAAAGTGTCAAAATGGGCCATATCACAAAATTCACTTAATATTTATTACTATCTATATTTGAAATATATATTTTCCCGGGAAATTGCTTGATCAGAGACCCCGCTAAATTTAAAATAAAATAAAAATCGCTACCTTTTTATTTTTATCTTTTGCAAAAATGATGTAATTTCGTAAAAACAATATCATTGTTACAAATTTTATTAAAGATTTTTCTATGGTGACTATTGATAAAGCAATTTTGTAAAAAAAAATGTATTTTACAAAGCTGTCTTGCGACAATTATTCAAAGAGATGATCATTTTTATGATTCTTGTAATAATTAAAATAATGTATAGAATAAATTTAATGAGCTTTTAAGATGTTAAATTCTTTAAATCTTGTAATAATTAAAATAATGTATAGAATGGATTTAAAATTTTGCGTTGTGTTTAGAATCAAATAAAAGATTCATATGGAAATTCATTTCATTCTTAAATGTCAACCAAATATAATTAACATAATTAATGTTATGTTTAGACTTTAGACTTTAAATGTACCTTGAAGATTTGCATAGCATCAAGAGTCTTATTTCTTGGAGTTGCATGAACATCCCACAAACAAATTCGAGAATCATCAGAACCACTCAACAAATAACCTTTCTTGAATTTACTCCATGAAAGACCAAATCCCTCAGCAGTGTGACCCTTTAATCTCAAATCAGGTTTGCATTCTTTTTCTCTTTCTGAAGGTGGATCAGATTCAGATGGGTGTATGCGATAATCAAAAACATGAACCTCTGCATTTATCGTCTTTGTGGCTATCACGAAAGGGTTTTGAGGCATATAACGAGCTCTGTTCACCTCTCCATCGTGATTAATTTTCTGAATCACTTGTACCTTCATCAATAAACGCACAATTAACTCCATTATCGAAACTAAAACGCTAGAAACCTAAGTATGTGAGTTCTCATGGCATCAAGATCGATAGCGAATTTCAAACGAACAATCAAACGAAACAAAATCATGGAGACGAAATTAGTAGAATCTAGATACTAACCTTGCCATTGGTGCATCCAAATCCGCCAAGATCAGGGCGGCTATCGTCGTACTGAGGAACGGCGATTTCAGCGTCTTTGACAGGCAAGTGAACCTTAGCGATCATGAGGTAATTAGGCTCGCCGACGGAGGTGTGGGTCCCGAGAATCAACTTCTGTACGGAATAGTCTTTTCCGGCGGGTTCTTCAAGATCAGGGAGCCATTCAACGGTGAGCGACGGCCATTCAAGCGGATGAGTCATGACCAGGTCGTATAAGAACGGGGTGTTCTTCTTCCAAATCTTGTATTCTTCGTTGATTTTTCGATCCTCGGCTTCACTTCTCATATCACCTTCACTTGTCGCCATTGTCAGTGAAGGATTTTGTGGGTAGGTATCGCTATGAATTTTGCGGATTCTGTAAATGGATTGAAAATTTGGAGGGAATGTGAGAGTGGAAGAGGAAGTGGGAGGTTTGTATACAAAATACAGCTGCAAAAGAAAGCGGAGAGAGTGAAACGAAATTAACAACTCAATGAATCTTGTTAATTTTTATTGGGTATCCAAACCAAAATGTGTGATTTTCTTTTAATAAACACTAGATGCGAAACCGTATATTATACGGATTGATTAAAACAAAATGTTAAACATGAAAGAGTAAACGGGAAGTTTATTTTGTATTTGAAATTTGAAATAAGTAAAAATTATGAGAAAAAAATTAAAAAAAAAACATGCGAAAAATAAATTAATTAAAATTACGTGTTTAGTTGTTAGACCCGTGTATTAAACGGGTTAATTATAACAAAATGTTAAATACGAAGGTTTAAATTGTATTTATTAGAATTTGAAATTTGAAATTTAAAATTTAAAATTAATATAGTTATTATGGTATATTTTATTTATAGAAAGTAAATAAATGATATAATGGAAAATAAAAAATGAAGTAATGACAAGTGGAAAACAAATATCTCTAAATTACCACAAATTGACATTTGACAAATTGAATGAGAGAATGACATGTGGCAATAGGATTTTTATTTATTAGGGAGTATTGTATATTTTTTGTGAAAATTAATCTTAAATATGTGTCAAAAGATATTATGTAGCATTATCTATTTATAATTTAGGTTATTACAACAAATTATTATTTCTATCGTATTAATATTAATTTAGTTTACTCGTTAATTTTTACAAATTAATGTAAAAACTTTTCAGATAATTGACACTTCCAATTTGCTTTTAATAAAAATTTTGAAAAATAAGTTATAATTTGAGGAAAGCAAAAAAAATAATACATATATCTTATTAAAAATCAACCATTGTTTAAAATATTAATCATAGTTGGTTATTTAAAATTTTAATGTTGTTTTAAATGATGGTGTATTGATAAAATTGTTTGTTAGAAACCAAGCTATTGATGAAATGACCTACAGTTTCTTCGTTTTGATAAATGACCACGATCTTCGGAAATGAACTATGAGAGATATAAAGGTTTACCGAAATACGACAAGATATAAAGGTTTACTGAAATATGACTATCATGGCCGGACTCCTCATACATTTTGGACCGAACATCAAACATTCTAGAATGTCTGTAACTTCAGATTGAAATTTGAGGCCAAATGAATTTTAATGGTTTACCGAAATATGACAATATATCTTATTAAAAATCAATATTCTTTTGGAGTGCAAAACATATTGGTGAGACAAGTATAAAGGTTTACCGAAATATGACATGTCACGGCCGGACTCCTCATACATTTTGGACCGAACATTGAACATTCTAGAATGTCTTTAACTTCATATTGAAATTTGAAGCCAAATGAATTTAATGGTTTAGAGGTTGATGCCTTCCAATCCAAAATTCTATTATTGAAAATGAATTCACATAATCTGATAATTAGAGTCCTTGTTTGTAGTAGAGGACAGTGGTAGCAAATAGAGGGTTTTATGCAACATATTTCAATATCATGGATCAAACCGTGTTATGCAAATTATTGATTTGACGACAATAATGTAAATATTTTCTTAATAGTATTAATAATATTTTGTTGAATACAGTAGAATTGTTTCTTGTGAAACATGTTGTCGAAAGTGGTGTTAACCAATTACTTAGTGATGTTAACCAATTACTTACATACACTTGTACAACTCCTATTACAAATTAATTTCCCAGGGAAAACCATTTCGATGGCAATGGGTCATCATGTGCCTAAAGTAATCAAATATCTAATCTATTACCTATTACCTATGACGCTATGACTTCGAGTTATACGGACACATGTGGAGTCATATGTACATGCGATTGATGTTAAGTGTAAAGGTAAGGAAGTCGATGATGATGATCTTGCATATGATGCTAATGAATCAACAAATGATTATGCATACTTGATGTTGTTGGTTGATGATTCAAACAATATTTCTTCATGGAAAACCAATAGAAAAAATGAAGTGTATATTGGGTTCAAATGAAACTAAATCTGATAACGATAATAATGAGTCTTAATACCCCAAAAAGAATAATTCTGCATTTTATTTTTATGCATTTTATTCATCACACAAACATAGATCATTAATAACCTCGATCAAATACATTTTTTTAAAGAGCAATAACCTCAAATACCTCATCACATATCAAATTGTTTCAATTGTTTAAAACCAAAGAAAATTAAGCTATCATTGGAATGGAATTTGGTGAGGAGGGATTTCGGATTATAACCAACAAATATGCAAAAGACAGATCGGAGAAGATTGTCGTGCTAAAGATTGTAAATGAAGTATCAAAGCTACAAAAAGATAAAATTAAATAACTTTTTCAAGTTTGTTAGTTTGTGGACGAGCACACTTAACTAGGGCTGTAAACGAACTGAACATTTGGTGAACCATTCATGAACCGTTCGGCGGAAAGTTCGTTTATGTTCGTTTATTTAATAAATGAATGAACATGAACACAAGTTCTCGTTCGTTTAATTAAACGAACGAAAATGAACAATGGTCTCGTTCGTTCATTTATGTTCGTTTATGTTTATTTATGTTCATATATGTTCAATTGTTTTTTTATTACATTACTATATTATATGTTTGTTTATGTTCATATATGTTCAATTGTGTTTTGTTTATCTTTGTTCGTTTATGTTCGTTTATCATGCTCACAAAGATAAACGAACGAACATAAACAATATAATTTGTTAAACGAACGAACATTAGGCTTTTAACCAACTAAGGAGAAATTCTGTAAAAATGTTGAATTTTATGAAAAAAAAAAATTGTAATCCCACCATGGCCCAAACATAGTCATGTTGTTTCATGTTCTTGTATGGTTAAAACTTAAATGTGTTGAGATAGTTTGACCATAACCCAACTTGTTTAATTATTGTATCATGTCATATGAACCCGTTTATTTTTGTATAGGGTTGGCGGGTGTAGGGTTTAAACCCTGTAAATATGGTGTGTCATATTAGATAGAAATACTAAATAGGTTGAAAGAGTAAGAATGTATCGGTGGAAAAGGAAAAGTGAAAAACATGAAGGAGTAGTGGTTTGAGGGGAGAAGGGGGGAATGGGATTGTGAAGTATAGAATACTAATAAAAATGTGAAAACTAAAAATAAATATCAAGTGGAGTGGCTAATTAGCGGCTTCCACATTACAAAACGACTAAACCCAAAGTTTTATTTTATTTTTTGTTTTAGGCATGTTTAGTTTACCTAAAAGATTAAAAGAAATTGCATATAAATAAACGGATCATTTTCATGTTGAAAGTTTGGACCCTAACGTTACTCATTTAATTAATCGGGTTGCAATCTCCGACCCATACTTGTTCATTTGCGTGTTGAGTTCGTGTTATCTTTCGTGTCGTGTCGAGAATTGTCACTCATATTTAGACATGTCACATGCTACCGTGACTTCAAAAACCTAGAAAACCTATTACCACCGGTTATAATGGTCACTTAAAAAACTATTACCTTTTAACAACACTCATTTAGTTCAATGGTCTTTTTCAAGTTCTTAAGATCGATATCTTATTTAAAATCGTTGTTCATTTTGCAAGATTATGATTGGAAGATCCTACAAAATTAGTTTCCAAATTTGCTCACAAAGTATTGTTTGTGTGGTACCCATCATAACTTATGCATTTTGATTAAGACATCGGTAGTGGAATTAACTTTAACTTTTGGTGCATTAACCATAAATATTGTTGTTGCATGGTGCAAAGAAAACATCTTTAGTAGAAATGGTGATACTAAAGCATTAGATCACAATAAAATTACATGATCGTAACAATATACGCTACTTAATTTGGAATAAGTATAATGAAATGATGATACTGTATAAAGACTTCTTGCAATCTAAACATGTGAGATCCAAATCGGGTTAAGATTTTAAAATCCTAATCAAGGGTACTAGATTTTTTATTTCTCATATCTACATCATTTTTACTGACATCTTTAACATTTTAAGAACAATACGAGATCTTAACAACCAATATACTTTTTTTTTTTTTTTTTTTTTAACTTTATATGGTTTGTTACCATATATATGTTATTATCTTAATCATATTTACACAGAATCGTGGCAATTTATACCTTGCCCATATCAACCTCAGCTACAAGTTACTAATTCAAAAATCTCTACGGCGGGAAAAAAAAAACCAATTTCAGAAAAGTGATCAAATGAGAGGCCCCGCCGGACGCCACCCTCCAACCGAGGGCTTTGTACCCGACCACCGCCTCTCGACTCCAACACCTGTAGATTCATTGAAGTTCAATGTCGGCGGCGGAGGAATCCGCCGAGATTCTGAGGGTATTTTCTCCGGTAGCCGTCCCTCTTCTTGCTACTCCGCTGGCGTTAATCACCGCCGTTCAGCCTCCGCCGTCGTCATTAAAAACCGATCCAACCAAAGCCACGCTATCTCCGCCATCAATTCCTACCTCTCCGAACGTTCCTTCCCGATCTCCTTCAAACTTAAATCTCTCCCAAGCAGTAAAGACATCAACGACACCCTAAAATTCGTTCTCACGCGTCTCGATTATCTGCCTAGTAATAAGATGGAGGATGATTTGCTTATAGTTTTGAAATACTTGAATTGCCCGATTAAGATTAGCAAGTCGGCCTTAAAATCCCCTGGAACTGATCACGTGTTTCCTACTGTTTTAGCGATTCTTCATTGGCTTTTACAGATTGCAATGTACAACGAGCACCTTGTAAATTCCACTCAGTCACAGCCAATTTCTGGAGACAGTCTGTTCTATTATACTCTGAATACTTACATGGATTGCTTAAGGGGATACGATGATGAAAATATCATGGAGAAGTTACAACAGGTAATAATGTCACTTTTCTTCGTTTAATCAAAATACCTAAAAGTTC